ACCTATCACCTAGACAAGAGGGAATAGACTGATGTCATATATCTTGACTTCAGAAAAGCCTTCAGTCTGGTATCCTGTGATCACCTCTTGACAAAACTGGCTAGCTATGGCCTCGGCCTCACCACAATCTTCTGGTTGGGGAATTGGTTCCATGGAAAGACCCAGAGGGTGGTGGTTGACAGATGTCAATCGTCCTGGTGCACTGTGAGCAGCAGGCTCCCTCAAGACTCTGTCCTAGGGCCTATACTTTTTAACATCTTCATCAATGATGTAGACATTGGTGTCAGAAGCTGACTGGCCAAGTTCGCCGATGACACTAAACTCTGGGGTAAAACACCCACACCTGAGGATAGGAGGGTGATCCAGGCAGATCTTGACAGTCTCATGAAATGGGCAGATGAGAACCTGATGGTGCAGGAAAAACCTGCAGCATCCTTAGAGGCTCGGCAGTGCTACGCTGGTTAGCACTACAGATGAAAGGGACTTGGGGGTCATGATTTACCACAAGATGAACATGAACCTTCAATGTGATCCTGTGGCTAATAAAGCGAGCAAAACGCTGGCCTGCATCCATAGATGCTTCTCAAGCAAATCCCAGGATGTCATCCTCCCGTTGTACTTGGCCTTGGTGAGGCCACAGCTGGAGTACTGTATCCAGTTTTGGGCTCCACAATTCAAAAAGGATGTGGAGAACCTTGAGAGAGTCCAGAGGAGAGCCATGTGCATGATCAGAGGTCAGGAAAACAGACCTTATGATGAGAGGCTGAGAGCCAGGGGACTCTTCAGCCTGGAAAAGCGCAGGCTCAGGGGCGATCTGGTAGCCACCTATAAGTTTATCAAGGGTATTCACCAGGATCTGGGGGAATGTCTGTTCACTAGAGCGCCCCAAGGGATGACAAGATTGAATGGTCACAAACTCCTCCGCGACCGATTCAAGCTGGACATAAGGAAGAACTTCTTTACTGTCCGAGCCCCCCAGGTTTGGAATAGACTGCCGCCGGAGGTGGTTCAAGCAGCCACTTTGAATGCCTTCAAGACACATTTGGATGTTTATCTTGCTGGGATCTTATGATCCCTGCTGACTTCCTGCCCCTGGGGCAGGGGGCTGGACTCAGTGATCCTCTGGGGTCCCTTCCAGCCTGAATGTCTATGAAATTTTTATTGGTCTCTGAATTTGATTCAGATTCAGAGATTCGGCCTCCAAATTGGGCTGAATCTCCTCCAAATTGAATCGGCAACTGAAGCTTCACACAGCCCTACTGCATTTTTGAACCCTTAAACAACATGCATCAGCTTCCCACAAAAAACAAACCCTTACAGAAATATTCTTCTTCATAGAGAACCCTATGAAAAACTGTTATCTCAGTAACCACCTGAAATTCTCCTCCCCTCCCATTAGTCCTCTTTGTTAGTTTAGCAAAACAAGTGTGTCCAGTCCTTTTCCCTCCACTTCTTGTCTGCCTCTTCCTCTTTGATCTCTTCCTTGTCTTGACTGATGTAATATTTCATGAAGTTCATGCAACTCCAGCTTCAGGCACTCTTTTTCAGTGAAAGCCAACTCCCTAAACACCTAGAGGTTTCTTACTTGCCATAAACCAGTTTTAACACATGCTAATGAAGTCCTGAATAATGTTTTCTCTAGTCCCTTCGGTATGAATCCATATAGTACCATATCTGTGTTAAGGACAGGTTTATTTTGGTGAGACTCACAAAGTGGTAGACCCTTTCCCATACCCGCTTTGCATATGTTCACTCCCAAAACATGTACCACTTTTTCTTCTTCCCCACACCTCTCCCTTGGGCACCTTGCTGAGCTTGCCAAGCTCCATCTGTGTTATACTTCTGCCACTGGCAAAATATTTCTTACAACCATCCATGCTAGGTCAGCATGTTCACCTTTTATATCTTTACCCACCACCACTCCCCACACCTTCTTCACTTGCCCATCTGTGAAGTTTCCCACTGGTACCATTCTCTCTCTCCCTTACCATTTTCATCAATGTCTTGTGATCCCTCAGGACCTCCAGCCCTACCTTCTCTATTTTATACCTCCTTCCATCCTGATGTAATGAATCGGAGGTTGCCACAGCCATGGATTCTTCAAAGAGGTCTAATATACTTCCCATTTCTTCAAAATGGATTGCAGCTGTGTGAAATCCAGTGATTTTCCTGTTTTTCCTGCTCCCTCTATTATTACTTTGCATATCACACATATTTCACATAGATGAAAAGTCCCAAGTCTGGCAACCCCCATCTAGCCAACTTTTCTCTTTTGGCATTGCAGAAGAACACACATTTCCCTCTGTACTTTTGCTCTGTGTTGCCACATTGGTGAGAATACAATTCCAATAGAATAATCATCAATATTATAGCCTTCACCACTGCGACTTTTCTGGCAAAGGCCAGTGTCCTTCTGGACCATAACCAAAGTATTTGCCATAGCCTTGCTGTCACCTTTTTCCATGCTGTATTTCCTTTTCCTTCAGTGTCCCTTGGGATCCCTAGCACTGTGATATCTGTTTCTGTTATTTGAAGGCCCAGCTTCTTCAAGTTCCTCCAGTTCCCCACTCCCCTTATATTGGTTTTTGATCTATTTAATTTAGCCCCTGTTGCTTCTCTATACTCTGATACATGCTTTAGTACCCTATCCATTGAAAGTTTCTCTCTAACTGCTACATGTATATCATCTATGCGTAGTATACATTTTACCTGTCCCCTTCCCAGTATCTTTACTCTGCTTATGACTTTATCTTTTCATATTTTTTGTACTAACGGTTCCATGCCACACATAAATAGTAGTGGTGACAGGGGGCACCCTTGTCTAACCCCTCTATAGATTTCAAAGGCCCTGCTTAGGGGCCCATTAACTTGGACTTGACTCTCTGCTTCTCTATACAATAACCTTATCTAACACAGATATTTCTCTGGGAACCCCATTTTTTCTAGCACCTTGAATATGTCGTCATGATCTACTGTCATATGCTTTTTCTAAATCTAGGGTTGCTAGAACTGTGTTTGTTTTCCTGCCTTGAATATGGGACACTGATCACTTTGGAGGTCCATCTATCTGTTTCTGTGCATACCTGGTCTTATGTATTATCTTCTGGAGGTTTTTCCTCCTCCTCAAAGCCAGCATCTTGACCATTAACTTACAGTCCATATTAAGGACAGTTATCTGTCTCCAGTTTTTCAGGAGTTCCTTCTCCCCTTTCTTGAAGAGTAAGATCACAATGCTTGTAAAATCTTTTCCTGCTTCTGCTGTTTCCATTATTTCCTTGAAAACTTCCACTATATCCCTTTGGCATGCCTAAAACTTCACATAACATTCCAGAGGCAGTCCATCTGCTCCTGGTGATTTCCCTCAAGGTTTTTAAACACTTCTCCACTTCCTTTAAGCTTTGATCTCTTACAAGAAATCCTTCATTGTCTTCCTGTTTGTTTGTTTTTTCTTCGTTTATAGCTCTTCATAAAATCTTGTCACCTCCAACATCTTGTGCTTTCCCACCCAGGCACTGCCACCTTCCCACACTGCTTTAAGCTCTCTTCTTGCTGTGACTAAAGAAGTATTGGGGCCACTTTTCATTTTCTCCCACCCAGGGTGCCTGTCTTTCTTTTAAACCAGGTTTCTATCCCTTGCCTTGTTTCTTCTAGCTCTTCTCATACCTGTCTTCCTTCTGTGGCTTCCTTTAGCAGCTCCTGCATCTTTCTTTGCAGCTCTCTCAGCACTTTTGTTCTTTTCCCCACACATCTTTGGCCTTCTGTCCTTGAAAAATTTTCCTGTCCTCTTCTTCTTCATCACCCACCATTCTCTGGTATTCCCAAAGTATTCCTTCAGTGTTTCCTACCCCTCGTACTGTCTCATGTATGCTTGACATATCTCTTCATCTTTTAACAGCTGCACATTTAACTTCCACAGCCCCTTCCCTCTCATGGGGCTCTTACCAGGACTCGTTTCCACCTTTAGCATCTGGTGATCACTAAAAGCCACATGTACAGTTTCTTTCTTCCTTATCCTTATTTCTTTTGATACAAATACAAGGTCACTTCTTGATTTTCTTTCCACTGAGGTCTGTTCTAGTGAAAACTTTCTTCCCTGCCTACACATCTCTGAGAGACACTTTTTTTATTATGTTTGTTAACAGTCTGGATTGGTTTTCTAAACCTTCGTTTCCTCCTTCCCCTTTTCTGTTGCCTGCCTCAGTTAGTCATAAAATTGAAATAAATAACTAAATAACTAGCATTCCCTGCCCCCTCCTGCCCCCAGTAGTGCTTATACATTTCGAATTATGTTCCCCCAGTTGATAGTATCATTCATTGCAATCTGCCGCTGATGACCTCTTCTGCCTGCTTTGCTCTCATCTCTGGGTTCTTGAATAATATTGCTAACCCAGCTGCTTTGTTCTCATTTGCCTCTGACCACCAAGATAGTCCCCATCTCCACCTTTTCTCCAAGTATTTATAATCCCTCTCCCTGGTATACCACATTCTTGTAGGCAGATTATATCTGCCGTTACTTGGTTCAACACTCGTTCAATCTGTTCCCATCTTTTCCTTGTTAAGATACTACCAAAGTTAAGTGAAGCTATTGTCAATGCCATTTATTCTTGTTTTAAAATGAGTGTGTGGCAGCAAAGATCAAGCTGCCTGCCCCAAAGATATTCTGGGTCCCTGGGAAAAGGACCCCAAAGACCATAAGGAGTGCCAGGGGAGCTGCCCCAAGCACAAACACTTACCTTGCTGCAGACAAGCAGGGAAAGAACAGGATGTGGTAAGACTACAGACACTGTGATTTACCAGCTCCTGTTAGTTCCCATAGGCTGGGCATGTGATGGAAAGCAGTATAAAAACACACCAGGCAATGGCTGCAGGAGAGGGAGGAAGACAGGGAGGAGCCAGAAGGATTAAAAAGACAAAAATGCTTGGACTATGCCCCAGCAGTGGCAAAGGAGGAGAGTAGGAAACTCTCTCTTTTTGAGGCTCAGAGGAGTCTCTCTACTTACCTGAATCCAGAAGAAACAAAGACGCCATGGCAGTGATCAGAAGGCCACTGGTTACTTGATCCAGTAAAATCAGCAGAGCCTGAAGACAACTAACCATGAGTGGTGGTGTTGTAGGACTTGAAATCCATGAGAATCTCAAAACCAATTGTCCTGCAGCCAACCTGAGGATAATATTAAGGATAAACAGGAGTTATACCTGAGCCAGGGACCCCCACTGCTGGGGACGATTAAGCTGTCCCCTCCCAGAAAGCAGAGGATGTATGATAATACCTGTACATAATACATGTATGATAATACATACAGAACCAAACCCATACAGAACCAAACTCATAGCCAGCCAAAAGTTAACAGCATTCTAGGCCAGCAAGCCTCCCTTCTTTTTTTGGTACATCAAGTCGTGGCAGGAAAGATAGGGCAGACCGTGCTGAGAAAAACCTTAGTTGAAAGACCTGTAGGGACCCTGAGGCTAGCACTCAACAAATCCCACCAGTAATGTGAGTAATTTCATTAAATTAACTCATTCGCTTACAGTGTGCATGTCCCTTTAAGGTTAATCCATGCTTGCTTTGAGCTGAGTGGACCTTTAAGGTTTGTCTGTGCTACTGCTTGGGATAGTTGACTCCTCCCCCACCCTCACTCTCATTCCTGTAGCCTTTGCAAGATGGTGGATTTCTTTTGCATTTAGGAAGCCTTGCATATTTCTGCGTCCTTACTGCTTCCTGCCTTCTGGTCTTCACACTGGGCTGGAGCCCAGAGGTGTTAGTGGCAGGAAACTGCTCTCCAGCTTTTTCCCCAACTCTCCTCCCTCATTATCTGGTTTCTTCTTCCTGGTCTTCAGCCCCTGCAAACATCACCAAATGGGGCCCCAGAATCCCTCTGTCACTCCCTCTCTTAGCCTGTCACATATGCTTAGTTCAGCCCCACCCTCCATGAGCTGAAGCAGGACACAGCTGCCCTATATCTCATCTGCATATTATTTTTGGAGGATCCCAGGACTCATGACAAGAACACCTAGTTCCAGTCATAAGTGGGAGCTAATTATCACATGTATCCTTTGTGTGGGGTATCTGGAGTACACACACATACTGAGCAATGCTGAGCTATGGGTTCACCATGAAATGCTGTTGACTCTCCTGGGGCCCAGCCCAGTGGGCTATATGCTAAATCATAAGCCTATTGGTTTTGGATTAATATTATGCATAGTTAGTACAAAAAAAAAATCTGTGCTACAGCTTGCAGCGGTTTAAAAAAATGCAGCTTGCAATGATTCTAGATGAATTAAGTCTATGGGTACCCATAGTACAAAGTCATTGTCTTTACATTTGCCCCTTACTTCTATGTGCTCAGAGAGAACAGATTTGACAGTAAAGTGGGGGGGAAGTTGTGAGCAGAAATCAAGGGGGGGAGGGTGCACCTCACCCACCCATTTATTTTCCCTGCTGTAGCAGTGAAAGGGAGAAAATTCAAGGCAAACCTGTAATAATTATATTCTATACCTGGAAAATTATAACCAACTTATACATTTTTCATATATAGAATATAATTATTGGGGGGGTCATCTTATATTCAGAGTAATCTTAGATTTGAGTAAATAGAGTAACTAATTTGGTCATCTCTTCATGCTAATCATCCAAACTGTCAACTCTCACAATATTTTTGTGTCAATACATAGTATATTATTTAACCCCAGCACTTGCAGAATGTCTCTTCAGTTTATTAGTAGCCTTAGAAAGATTTAATGATCAAACAATTTTTATCAGAAATGACCATAGGAAAAAGGACAAGTGAATGAAGGGGTAGGTGGATGCTGTGTGTGATGTTCTTTATGCATGGTAGTGCTGAGCCTTTGCACTAGCTTCAGTAATGTGTCTGAAATGCTCTGTTGGCCTCTTCTCTTCCTGCTTCGTGTTTCATCAGAAAGTTTGCTTTTTAAGACATCCCACAAATGAGAGAGCTGTAAACAAAATGAGGATTTCTAAGCATCTCTGAGCTGCCATTCGCTCACTCTACAGGGAGAACAAGCCAGATATCACTGAAGTCTGTGTTTGGGAATCCTAAGAGTAGACTTCAAAGCCTGCTGGCTGGTTCTTCAGATTATCCAAAGACATGAGCTGTCCTTTGCAACCTTTGGCTAACTGAGGTTGTATTGTTATACAAGTACCAGCCCATTATTTTTGTGGGTAACTTTTAATGCCTGTAATAATGATGATGCTTATAGTTACCTGTGTAGCAGTGCTGAGGTGAACTGCAATAGATTCACGTTTCTGTGGTACTTGGAGATCCTTGGATGAAAGGTGCTATATATGCAAGTGCCAAATATAATAACTATCATCAGCAATATCCTTCTAGTTCTAATTACATGATTGAAGGACAAGCCCTTTAAAGCCTGAGTGATGCTGTGTAGGAGAGGTTGTTCCTCACTGAATCTCTTAGCGTTTCCTTTTTTATTTTTTTAACTATGTTAAATGATTTAAAGTGAACAATCCATGCACTGCATTTACATCCTTGCTTAGCTGTTTTTCTCCTAACATAATTGTTGTGAAACTTGTCTTGGGATTGTTTTTGCTTTGATTTATCCAGAAATGATTTGCTTAGAAGGAGTGCAGGTTTCTGTGTGTGTAGGAATAATGATTGATGATCGCTGCTTATTGTAGCCTACCCCAGCACTCGTGGGCATAAACGTGAATAATGTTAGCACATTTGGTATAGCTTTAGTTTGAAGTGGGCTTACTAGCTGCATAATATTTCTCTGAGCATATTTGTGTAGTAAATGTAAAAAATACAAAGGCATTATGAATTCTGCATTCTGTCCTGAGCATTGGTTAAGATATTGTCTCTCTTTTTTTACTTATGGCATTTATACAGCATCAGTCACATTTTTTTCACATGCTGCCACTAACAGAATTCAATCAAAACTCCAGAGATTTTTACTTTTGTTTAAGGGTGTTTCTTTGTTTCTGTCCTGTGTGTTTCCACATTATGCTTATTTTATGAGCTGGCTTCTGCAAGAAAATGTTTCATTAGGCTATGTAAAGAGCAGGACAAAAAATCTGGGCTCCCATCAGCTTGATGGTTAAACAGGATTGCAGTGGTTTTGAAGACAGGAAAAGGAAAGGTACTTTGTAAGACAGCTTTCTCCTTCTCCTAGTCTTCCAAAGGGAAAACTTACAATGGCATAAATGAAGGGGCAGGGGGAAGGTGGGTGTTAGACATCCACCGCTGTTTGAATGCCAATGGGGGTTAGGTACCTGAGTATGCTGTGTGTTTTTCAAAATCTCCCCTTACAGGCTGTACATGTGGTAGTGAATAGGGAGCTGATGGAAAAATTTGAGCACTTGTATGATGAGGTACACAGGAGGTGCCACAGCATGAGCTGGAGACTGACTTGACTGTCAGCTCTGTCTATAGGGAATGGGAATGGTTTTGTCTGAAAGGGATGAACAGGAATATCTTGGTGGTGAAGTCATCAATAGAATCAAAGGCACAACTGGTACAGAAGGCCTTACTATGTTGTTTGTCAAGCACTATAAGAACACAACCACCTACAACACCACCTGTCTCTAACATAATAAATCTTACCAATCAATCTCAAAACTGTTAAAGAAAAGATGGTGACAAGTATCATATTTTTTTCTATACACACTGAGTCAATATAGAAGCAAAGTGACTTGTCCTAAAGAGATCGAGTAAGTAAGTGGCAATGCTAAGAGTAAATCTGAGGTCCGCTGGGTCCCATTTCTGTGTTTTATTACCATGCTACTTTTCCAGCTGGAGGACAGATACCTTTGAAAAAAGGGTTAGGTCTGAGAGCTGGCTGGAAAAATTCTAATGAAACAAGGTTGCCTTGAAAATGACAGTTTGCTGAACCTGAACTTGTTCTTCTGAATTGTCTTGGGTTTAGCAAAGACTTGCTAGAAACAAGGCAAGGCTCCAGATGGAACTGTGCTTCATTTCCTGGAGTACTGTCACAGAACTAGGAAGTGAGTGCTTATAGGTTTTATTGAGCAACTGCAGAGCTTTGGGAGCCCAGGTCATTTAGGAAACACAGTATCATAGTTTTTCCACAAGTTTCTTTGAATTCCCGGGTCACAGGAAACTTTGAAAAAGTTGGGGTTGAGTCTGATCTAGACCCAAACCAAACTGCACACAAACAGAATTTCCTGAGGCCATAGAATGCTATGAGCAAATTACTCAAATTATCTCCCGTTTCTTACCAACATCCGTTCCGTTTTATGTAAGTTAGACCTTAGCCAGCTGAATTTTATGAGCAGCTGCCGTAATGATATGAATGGTCTTCAAAGCAGAGCTTGAATATTCATAAGGCCTTGCAAAAATTATCATAAAAAATCACCGGTGCAGTCACAGCATCTACTCTCTCATCCTTTATCATGATGTTGCTAATGATGAGTCCACCTTGGGAGAATCAGTTGCACTGACAAAATGTTGTTTAGGCTTGTTTTAATATGAAATGGATGTTTCCACATCACGACTTCACTAGAGACAGGCCAGATAGTAGGCTTCATTCTGAAGAGAGCTGTTGTAGGCCAGATTGAGGTATATTGTTAGAGCTATATGCAGGGAAGCACCTCCTCCAGTATACATATCCTAGCTAGTAGCATTAGTGCTTTGTCTTCATAAGCATAAAGAATCAGACAAGAATTTCAATCAAGTTAGTGTTATGTATGAAATCAAGTTAACATGATGTCTAGGGCACAGATTAGTATTTGGTTCCCTCTACACGTGCAGGTAAAGGTGTTCACATGCACAGCAGGAGACGTGTTTGTGGGATCATGTGTTAGATCCCATCACACCTTTTAGCCAGTGCAAGGGGAGCCCAATCCTGAGCTCCCCCTGCATTGGCCAGAAGTAGACTTCTGCAACTGGGAGCCCCATGCACCCCAGTTAAAGGGATCCCAGCTGTAGGGGTGCCCCATGTACTGGGAGATTGCAATCCCTCCTACTCAGGGGTGCATGAAACCCCTGGGGCCAGAGGATCACCACTGCATTCATCTCCATACAGGGTTCAGGAAATCCCAGGGCTGGAGGATCACTCCAGGGTGGGGGAGATCACCCCTGTGGCAGTCCTCCAGCCCTGAGGGTTTCATACATTAGGATTGGGAGATCACTCCAATGGCAATTCTACCACCTGATGGAAGCACAC